CACTGGGTATCTAAGCCTCGTGGAGATCGGCGTGGTGGCTGATAGCGGGTAGTGGAGTTTGAACAGTGAATAGTGAGAGGAAGGCTAGGATGGTCGGCGAGCATTGGGTGGTTTGTGGGATGTAATGACGAAAAAGAGATGGGGAGGAGGGTATTGGGGATGTTGATCGACGTGTCGTGGTCTTGGACGTGGGAGCATGGGATGGGATCGGTAGGATCGAGGCTGGATGTAGGCAGCGTAGCACAGAACAGCACAAGGGGCACGACAGAGAAGGGCATCATAGGCAAAGGAATCATCTCCGCCATCTCGTTCACCAAAGATATATAAGCACAAGGCTTCTCCCTCCAGAACAGACTCATCATCACAGCAGTTCTCATCTCATCATCTATAACACCTTCACACCTTCACACCACCACAATCAACCCACCAACCCACCAAAATGCAGTTCACCATCTTCACCCTCACCGCTCTCCTGAGCCTCACCTCCGCCGCCGCAGTCACCAAGCGTTTCCCGTACACTGCCACCTCCGTCCAGGCTCGCCAGAGCGAGATCTGCGGTGGCCTCGCCACGCCATTGTGCTGCCAGACTGATGTCCTTGGTGTTGCTAACTTGAACTGCGCGAATGGTATGTTGAAACATTTGGTCTATTGAAGTGAGAAGAATGAGTGCTAATGTGTATAACAGCGGGCGCCGGTATCGAAACAACAGAGGACTTCCAAGCTGCTTGCGCTGAGGACGGCACCACGGCTCAGTGCTGCATTGTGCCTCTTGGTGCTGATGGTCTGCTTTGCACTGCTGCTGCTTAAGCTGTCCTCAACCTCAGAGACATTCGATACGTCCAAGACTGAGGACTACTTCGGCACGCTAGGCCTGCTGCTGAAGCAGTGAATCACTCGGAGATGTGGATGTACATGAGTGGCGGACGAGACATCGCTGAGATATAGTGCAAGGGGGTTTACTGTTCTTGTTGCCACTACCTACCACTCCTTTAGGTGGGACAGTTTATTTGTAGATATACTTGGAGACGACTGGCAGGAAGAGAGGGGTGTATGATACAATGAGAAATCTGTTTTTCAAGCTACATCGTATGCTTCATCTCGTGAATTCGCTTTGAGATCCTATTTACTTACTGAGATTCTTCTGCGGGTTGAGTAATGACTCTCCATGTGATTCCCGAGTCGAAAACCACTTGCTTATCACAGAGTCGGCAAAGCCTATGATGAAGCACCAGAACAGATTCCGACTCTTACTACGATCCGATAACACCAATACCATCAACGAACTCACAAAAGAACTTATCAAATGCATTCAAGCCTCCCTGAGAACAGTCAAAAACACCGCCATGCAAGCCATGACACAATCAAATAATCGCCTACCCAAATACCCGTCCGCGCTTATGCTATCACAAAAGACACTTGCCTCCCCCCCCCCCTCTCCCTCTAATCATCCACCTCACTCGTAATCCAAGCTATCCCTCACACACTTCCTCACCCTCTTCTTAAACTCGGGCGTATTATCCCTCCACAAGCTCGCCGCCTCCACATTCGCCGGGCTCTCATCGTTCGGGCTCGACAGCATGGAAATGACTGACAGAAGAATCGTTTCGGGTGTTTGGACGGGCGACCAGCGTTCTGCGGCGGATTCGTAGCCGTACTTGTCTTCTTCGGGTGGGTGGAGGATCGAGATGCATACTTCGCCGTTTTGGTAGACTGGAAGGTGTTAGCTATGCGATTCAAGATATGAAGGGTTTGCAAGGAACGAGACGTACTGTTAGGGTGGAAGATGGGTGTCTCGAAGCGCATCTTTGGTGGAAGGAGGGGGTATTCGCTGGGGAAGGTGAGGCGCGCGCGAAAGAAACCTCCTGTCTGGTGTCAGTACTGGAGCTTCTACTTGGGAAGACTATGTCTGGGTCTGTACCTCCGTAGAACTTTGTGTCGTCGTCGATCATCAGCATCACCTCCCACTCGAACACATTGTTGTCCACCAATCCACAGCTTATGCCCGATATACTCTTGTCGTTTTGCATTTGCTTGAGTTGACGAGCCAGCAGCCCCGCTGCCGCAGATGACGAAGCCATAGTACCCTTCTTTTCGCGTATGTGTATGTGAAGTGGCGCTCGAAGTCGAACCCTCGATATGCGCAGAGTGATCGGGAACGGGTGGGGGAACGCAGCCGAAGAGACGGTTATAACAGCTGCGACGCAGAGATTGCACACGTTCTACAGCGATCCGGATGCAGTTGTTCTTGCGTGAGGGAAGTTTTGTGTGCGCCGGTTCTGTTGCGGAAAGAGGGTAGGTGGAGATTCCAGAGGCGCGTTCGGGCGCAGGACGTGGAGGGCTCTTAACGGCGGGTGTGGCGGGGCAAGCTGCGGGCGATCGGCAGGGGGCTCGCTGGCAGTCGTGGGTAGGGGATTACTGGCTGGATGGGAGTATGTGCAAGAGTCAGAGTGTCTTCGTGAGTCTTGTTAGTGAGCGTGCGTGAGCGTGATTATATATGAAGAAGCAAGTCTGCGGCATGCTCCAATGGCCGCGTCGCATGTGGCGGTATGCGCCAAGTCGAATACCGCTTTGCAGGGGTCCTTCAGGGTATTCAGGCCTTCCCTTTTGCGTCTGCTCTGCATTGAGGACGGGTGCTTGCCGATAGTCAGCCCTAAAGGCGTGTGGGAGAGCTGGATTCGGTGCTTGGTAGATGAGCAACGTGAGAATTTGGACCTCGGCTTGAAACTCGATAAGCCCTACGACGCCTTCACACCAAAGTAGCTTCTAAGGCTGCAAGGAAGATCACTATTTGCTTATATAGGTATACCGATCCATGTCCAGCTCTACTCGCCCAATGCCCGTCCATCTCCGTCTGCCCAGTTCCCATTACGTCCCAGAACGCCGTCGTAACCATGATAGATGCGATGCCACTCCCCGAGGACCCGTATCTAGGGTATCATTTGATCCAAAGGGGATATAGATTGGAAACAGCAAGACTCTAGAAAAGATGAAACGTAAAATCGTACATGTAGGGGGCTATGATTACCCGAAGATCCGGAGAAAGCCCCATAGCCCGGCTCCGCAAAGCACGGGGATGGTGAGATTGTCGTCCCAGCCAAAAACATCGATCGCTTCACTGGCACTGGCGATAATGCCAGACGCCAGAGACATGGCGCCCAACGCCCAGTATCCGGTAAGGGAAGCTTGCTTCACGGTGAGAGCAAAGGTTTCCCGTGCCTGGGGAGGCAGCGTCAGGGCGCCTTGGAATGCAAAAGCGTATTCGCCGTGATTGTACTCTGAGTAGAGAGGACCGAGCCAGCCCCACCATACAGCAGCTGTGATGACACCCGTCACACACGCCGCGATGGAACCCGCAAGACTCTTGCCTTTCCTGACTCTGGGCGTGAGGTGGCCCCAGAGCCTGCCGAAAGTCGAAGCAGCGGTATCGCACCAACTCAGTAGTAGGATGCTCATGACTGCTATGTCTTTTGGGCAAAAGCGCATGACTATCCATGCGCCCAGAAGGTAGGAGATGACACCGTTGTATCCATCGACCTCTGACTCGCGCATGAAGGCACCGAGGCAGCGGATGTAGAAGCGGTTGACTTGCCAGTAGCGGTGTCGGATGACGTCGGCGAGGGCAATGGGTATCAGCATGGTAAGGAGGACATTGTGTATTTGCGACGTTTGCGTGCCGGTGCAGTAGAGGAAGATGGTTAGGAAGCCGATGGAGACGTGGAGGATTTTGCGAGGAATCTCATGCCGGTGAATCTGTTGATGTCAGTGATGAACTGGCGAAGTCACAATGTGTATACTCACGAATGACCGCCATTTCTGGTGGATCGGAATCAGGCCTAGAGGACTTGGACTCCTGCTCATCTCCCTCCAATAGTTCTTGTTCGCTTGCGCGGGTGACAGGTGGCCATTTGAAGTGTTGCCAGGCAGTGCGAGGTCCTTCTTCATGCCTCCGTTCATCTGCCTACGACTTGTCAAGCCGCTCATCCTCCGCCGTCCCACGCCTCCATCTAGAATAGGACTCCGACTTCTGGCATTCCGGCTCCTTGCTCGAGCCCTGCTGTCGGGGTCGGATCCTGAGTCCTCATCGATAGGCGGGGGTGACGTAACCCGTTGTTTGCGCGTCGAAGAGCGCGTCACGGGGCCGAAATAGCCATCTTTCGTACTGCCCGCCTCCGAGGGCGTTGGTGACGGCGAGATCACACGCGGCGTGTTGGGGATCTGGTATTGGCGTGAAGACTCCATGGCAACGCGCCAGCAGGTGGGAAAGTAAGGAAAGGTAGGAGCCCGGATGACGCCGGAGAGAGTGGAGCGGGCCCTGGCACAGAGTAGGGCGATGTTTACCAGCAGGGACTGGCGATCCGAGGGTTGGGAATAAAGGTAATGAGGCTGGGTTGGCGCGTCACAGCTAACATGTGGGAGGGCGGCACTTAGGGTGGCTTCGACATTGATGTCAGCATCAGGCGTGATCAGAGGCTCATGGCCCGCGGATTCGTCCGGGCGGCGCGCATCGTTTGGGGAGGCAGAAGATGCCACAGTGCGTGCAGGCGACAGCAGCGGTCGTCTTATTTGTTATAGGCGGGTGAACAGGGAATGGGTCGGGGCGTGACGGCTGTAATCTTGCTGCATGAGCCTGGGAAATTTGGTCTCACGGCTACGCATGTATGATCCGGTCTCGCGAATGCGCCTATGATCAGCGTGGCGGCGGATCAGTCTTGGCGATGCCATCAGGTTCGAGAAAGGAGACACGGCGTCAGTGTGTCATTGCAGGCTCGCGAACTGGATGCATCATGTTCTGAGTAATCAAGCTTTCGTCAGATGCGCTCGAAGCCGTGACAGCTGACGACGACCCCGCGTGCTCTCGAGCTTCCAAGGTTACCTGCCTGTGAACGACAGTGTGGCGCGAAGTGGCCGTGCAGTGCTCCACTTTATTTTCAAAGTTCGCGCGACTTTTCTGTACAGCCGTCGCGACTCCAGCAGACATCTTCACGATATCATAGTGCATCATGGCGCCCCAAACTAAGATAGATCGTTCGTTCAGCGCGTTAACGCCTGCCTTGTCAGAATGGATTCTCGAAGCTGTGGATTCCATGGGCTTCGTAAAGACCACGCCTGTGCAGCACGCAGCCATCCCCATGTTCATGAAGAACTCTGATGTTGTCGTCGAGGCTGTCACAGGGAGTGGAAAAACTCTAGCGTGAGGTCGTACATTGCCAATCTTTATGCGCATCTAACAAGCTCCTAGTTATCTCATTCCCATCGTCGAGCGCTTGTTGCGACTGGATGCGCCTATAAAAAAGCATCACGTGGGTGCCATTATCATCTCACCCACCAGAGAACTTGCGACACAGATACATACAGTACTTTCGTCGCTTCTCAGATTTCATGCGCCCTCTGCAGCCTTACTGGATCCCGAAGATGAAGATACCGACATGGAAGACGCCGATGCTCCGCCAAAACCGACCTTTCCTGTCGGAACGTTGAAGGTTATACCCCAGCTCCTTCTCGGAGGATCAGTAACGCCCGCTCAGGACCTGAGCAGATTTCTCAAGTCATCGACCAACGTACTCATCGGCACACCAGGACGACTCCTTGAACTCCTTTCCTCACCACATGTCCATTGCTCACAATCGTCCTTCGATGCTCTGGTCCTGGATGAAGCTGATCGTCTGCTAGACCTTGGCTTCAAAGATGACTTGCAAAGAATTCTCTCTCGACTACCCAAGCAACGCCGAACCGGTCTCTTCAGTGCTAGTGTTTCTGAAGCTGTCGACCAGCTGATCCGCGTGGGTCTCCGGAATCCCGTTCGCATCGCTGTCAAGGTCAAGGCGCGAGCTGCGCCCAATAGTGCGACAGGAGAAATGGGCGCCATCGAAGACAAGAAAACGCCAGCAAGCTTGCAGATGACATATCTGACCATACCAGCATCGCACAAGCTACCCGCCATCAAGAAAGTCTTAAAGTCATTGGATCCGCAGCCGCAAAAGTCTATCATGTACTTGGCGACATGTTTCTCAGTCGACTACTTCCAACACATTCTACCTGAAGTTCTGAAAGGATACACCATAGTGCCCCTGCACGGCAAACTCCCGGATAAGGTCAGGAACCGCAACTTTATAAAATTCGTAGAGAGCGTCACACCATCCATCCTCCTCACCACAGACGTCGCTGCCCGTGGTCTCGATATCCCATCAGTCGACCTGGTCCTCCAACTTGACGCCCCAAGCGATCCAAAAACCTTCATCCATCGCTGCGGACGTGCAGGTCGCGCAGGTCGCAAAGGCTTAGCAGTTACATTCCTCAGTCCAGGCCGAGAAGAAGACTACATCGAGTTCCTCCGTGTCCGACAGACCCCAGTATCGCCGTTAACAACACCCGAAGTCACAGTATCCGCGGAAGAAGCCACAGCCATGAGCAATCGGATACGAAAAGTAGTGAAATCTGATAGAGCATTATTCGACAAAGCACAACGAGGCTTCGTCTCCTGGGTCCGCGCCTACAGCAAACACACCGCCAGCTCCATCTTCCGCATCCCCGATCTCGACTGGGCAGAACACGGCAACGCCTGGGGCCTCCTCAAACTACCCAGCATGCCTGAACTCAAGAAGTGGGACGGAGACCGCAGTCTAGGCGTGGTCATGGATTTCAGTACATACGCATACAAAGACAAGACGCGCGAGGCACAACGACAGGTCGAGCAGAGCGAGTACGAAGCCAACAAGGCGGAGGGGAAGAAAGAAGGCAAGAAGCGATATGTCACGGAGGACAAGAAGGCATCGGCGTGGACGCAGCAGAAGGATGCGAAGGCGCTTAAGGAATCACGGAGGGAAAAGAAGGCAGCGAAGCGCGAACATGACCGTGTTGCGGCGCTGACGGAAGATGAGCGGAAAGAGGAAGAGAGGGTGAAGGGTATGATTGACCAGGTTAGGAAGAAGGTCGCAGAGAAGGAAGCCCAAGAGGCGGCGGACGAGTTTGAGGGGTTTAGCGATTGATTGCCGGGCGTCTACATACCTTAATCACTTGTAGATATCTACGAGAGCTCCTTACATCTGCTTTAACATATTCTTAAGTCATCTCGCGCTTTGACGTATAATCACAGCCTGTAAAGTCGCGCAAAAAGAGTCAAAACGAGTTCGTGAATCGAACGCAGCAAAAACAAAATAATCAATGTTAGAACCTAGAATCGAACCCAGCAGCAAAAAGAAAATCCTTGCTCGGTGCTATCAACACTGCGTATTGGGTATATCAAACCCGTCGTCATCTCTCAAGCTGCGATCTCATAGGAATTGCGTATTGGGTATCTCAAACCCGTCGTAATCCCCATTTGGCCACCCGGAATCTTCTTATGGAAACTTACAAGATTAGAGGCATTGTATAGTCAATACAAATCTTCTGTGGGGGGCAACAGTGGATCAGTCGCTACATTCATGGACCCTGAGCGCAGTGAAGGCGAGGCGGTGGAAGAGCGCTCGCAAGGCAGCAGTGACGTACTGTCGCACAATGCAAACGCTCACCTTCACTTTTGACTTGAAGAATCTTCTAGGGCGACAAGTCTCTCGTCGCTCATCTACTCGCTCTTTATCTCTGCTCACGATCTCGCGTCTCCTGACCTATCCATCACCTTGCGCTCCCCTGAGTATACAACAACATCAACGCTACTATGGCGCACAAAGTAACTCTTCACTGCCCTTCCATCGACAAGACCAAGAGCGAATTCACCCTCGGACCTTTCGATAAACATGACAAGGTCCTCCAGCAAGTTCGCACGTTCTTCAAGATCGAATACGCCGCCGTCTACGACATCCGCGCTCAACCGATTGACGATATCTGCGCCTGCGAAGCGGGACAGATAGTGCAAGTCGCCGCGTCAAAGGGCGAGATCATGAAGTACTACAAACCCAAGGTCTGCATCTTCTACAACGGTGAAGAAGAGGTGTCCAATGAGTGGGTCGACGGTTACGGCTTGCCGTGGAAGGTAAGTGATGTCTATTGAAGCGCAATCACCAAACTCTAACCAAATAAATAGGATCTCAACGACTATCAGAGGTGCTCGCACGTCATGAGCCTCGGCAAAGGTCCAGGAGGTTTCGTCTTGGACAACACCATCCGGATCACGCGCCCGTACGCCGACGTTCAAAAGGACCTGAAGGAAGTCGCCGGTGCCGCTCCGGACGGTATGGAAAGCAAGCGCAACCTTGGGATTGCGATCTTCTTGAATTGGGCTTGGAAATGGGAGATGGTCAGTAAAGTCCTTGTCCGAACTGAACTGAGACTCATACTGACTTATCTATAGCTCCTACCCGTTTCGATGAAGCCCGCCAAGGATAGCGACATGTCCTCCAAGGTTCTCGGTCTCCTCGTCGTCCTTTCCTCTTTCACTCACGGTTCCGCGAGCTTGGTACGCGGATATCTCGTCGAAACCGTCAACGCCCGCGTCTCTGGTGCTGAAGATGACGAGACAAAAGACCCACTCCTCCGCGCTCAAGACGTCGTGCACGTGATCAGCACACTGTACGAGAAGGCGGGCAGCCTAGCTGCGAAGATCGCGCTAGCCAAGGAGAAGGCGATGAAAGACAAGATGAAAGAGAAAGCACGGAAGACGGCCTGGAAGGCGAAGCAGAAGACGGGAGGAAAGGGCAAAGAGCCATCTGACGTCGATGATCTTGCCGACCAGCTGGGTGGCCCTCAGAACTACATCGATCTTACTTAGGAGGATCAGCGAGGTGGTGGACTAGCCAGATGCCTACGTACCTGATAGACAGCGAGAAATGAAGTATCCCAAAGCTAATGTAGGCATGTCAGTGATCAATGACAGCCAAGATTACGTCTACTAAACTCCATGTAGACATTATAGTGAAGCATGCTAATAACGATTGAAGTTTCTTAATTCAATGTAGTCACATCAGCGTGTCGAACTTTCAGGACTCGCGAGTCGTCTAATACCGCAACCACTGAAAATCATCATGCGCAAGTACTAGGTTGTGTCCTTCTCCCCATATCACCCCTTCCGTCGCAAACCGCAAAGAACCAATCTGTATCAACGGAAACAGCCGGTCACAGTTGTTTGCATCAAATGCCTTGAAGTTATTCGACGTAATCTGGAGAGTGTTGCGCATAGTGTTATGCAACTTGCGGGCTTCGGCTTGGTCGACACGAAGCCGCCGCGACAGGGTGATTGGATTGTGGCCGTTGCCCCCAAGCGCTACCACCTTCGTTGGCGTACGCAGATTTAGTATCATACGTTCGGTGTACAACACACTGAAGTGAGGGTTGCCTTGGAATAATAGATTCGCAAGTGTCTTCAGGAAGATAGCAATGTAATCGAAGAGCTGTTTGGCAAAACAAGTCGGCGAGTGCTCCAACAAATGAGCCAGCTCATGCTCATGAGGAACAAAAGATTCGCGCGGCCCGTCTCGGAGGGGCTCTCTTGTGCGCAAGTCGACGTTGATAAGAAGTTGATTGATGGTAGGCGAAAGCGCCGCAAATTGAACCCAGCTCAACGAGAAGTACGGCCGACCATGTGAGAAGGTAATGTCGAATTCGTAGTTTAAGCGTTTCGCAGCGACCAGGTGTTGGATTGCTTGCTTAAACTCTCCATGCGTCTGGCGACACACGCGGAGCAGCCCGCGATAACACCGAAGCGGTAAATCGTTCCTCACGTAATGCTCTGACACAACCATAACCCCACGAAAAGAACGACCCAGCTCTTCGTTAAGCAACACCTCGTATACATGGTTTCGGAGTTCAAGTGGAAGATCCAAAAAGCCGGGCATGGTGTTGGTGACCAAAAGTGCGAACGCGCCTGTCGAAGATCAGGGTCCAGCGGCAGGCACACGGATGTTCGGAAGCGAGACCGAAGGATCGTTGAGTATGGTTCAGGCCTGCACTCGCTGCTTGCGGGACCAGAGAATGGGGATGCGGGGGTGACGACTGGAAGCTGACGTGATCAAAGGAAGTTTGCGGAGAAGATTGAAGTGAGGTTCAGCCTTTTCGACGAGGTTCAGTGTTGTGAAACTGATCGGTCCGTGCTACCCACGTGATTGGATCTGGGCTCTGGGATTTGCGAGCGGGCAATGGCGGCGCGGCGACTGCATCGTCATCGCTAAAGTGGTGTCTTATCCAACATGGCATTTCCAGCCGGCCTGACTGCTATGCAAACACGGACAGCGCATCGCATAGATGGATGACTACGAACTGGATCGCGTCGCGTCGGATAATCCTGCTCTGACTGCGCCTGCGGCCCAGCGGGCTCCCATACGACGGCTGAAGTCTCAGGGCCCGACATCGACGTCAGCTGCTCAATCTACCGGTTCCAATACTACGGTCGCATCTGGGGAGTTGACGAAATACGATGTACGTGTCAAACGCAGGGCTTGAAGGTTTCTTCTAAACAAACGTAGGTCGGCTGGCGGAGAATTGTGAGGAACTTTTCGCCGTCATGGTTCTCCGTGACCATGGGCACGGGCGTAGTTTCTCTACTTCTCGTCGCTATACCGTTCAAAGCAGACTGGTTATACTGGCTTGCGGCGATCTTCTTTGGACTCAACACTATCCTGTTCGCCTGCGCCTTCTCTGTTTCTGTCTTCCGATATGTGGTATACCCTGAAATATGGACCGTCATGATCGCGGACAGTGTCAACTCGCTCTTCCTTGGAACCATTCCGATGGGATTCGCTACCCTCATCTCAGCTTGGTGCTCAATATGCATCCCATATTGGGGGCCCTGGGCCGTTACCTTTGCCTGGGTCTGCTGGATGATCGATTCCGTAGTCGCTGTGTCAGTCACAATATCGCTTACCATCCTCCTGATCTCCGCTTCTGACCGCCAGGCTTTGGATCGCATCACAGCAGCCCAGCTACTACCTATTGCTGCATCCATCGTCGCAGCTGGTACCGGCGCCAGAGTCGCAGAGCACTTGACCAACCCGCAACATGCTCTCGGTACAATACTTGCATCGTACATTATGTGGGGTATGTCCACACCACTAGCGATGACCGTTCTAGTCATGTACTACACACGCCTGGCTTTGCACAAGCTACCACCACGAGAGATTGTTGTGTCATCCTTCTTGCCACTAGGACCCCTAGGCATGGGCGGCTATTCCATAACCTATCTTGGCTCGGTCAGCAGACAGGTCTTTCCAGAGACGGATTTCTTCTCAGATATTCCCATGGCAGGCGACATCTTCTTCGTCTTCGGGGTCTTTCTGGCGCTCATCATGTGGGCGTTTGGGCTGACATGGCTCTGTTTCGCACTGGCATCCATCTACAAGTCTCGGCCGTTTCCGTTCAACATGGGCTGGTGGGGTTTCACGTTTCCCCTTGGGGTCATGGCGCTTAGTACAATGGAGCTTGGCAACATCTTCCCGAGTCTGTTTTTCAGAGTCTTAGGGACGATCTTCGCCGTAGCCGTCATTCTGCTATGGTGCGTAGTAGCAGTTGGCACAGCACGCGGTGCATGGAGCGGTCGTCTGTTCAATGCGCCGTGCCTCAAGAACTTACCAAAGAGAGATTCTACGGGGAAAGATGAAGCAGAGAAAGAGAAAGGGCTAGTGCAGACATGACCCTGAGTCACTATCATCGACACAAGAGGTGCGTATGTGTAGGTTCTATTGGAATCTCATAAATTGCGTTGCGTCTGATCGTAAAAGTATGTATATGCACGGCCCCTCGTCGCAAAGCATCAAGCCCCTCGCTGACCGCTGAAGGACCTCCAGCATACCCCGGTTCGCTGCCTCAGAGGGTAATTCTAGTTGCCAGCGCCTGCAGCATCGCATTGTTCTACCACCTGATTAGCATCGTTCCAAAAGACTATCATCATCGAACTCACGCTTCTGAGCCTGGCAGTCCTGAGTGGAGAAGTCTCCCTGTCCACCATTGGCCAAGTTCGCGCAGCCGTTGAACTGCTGGTCGCAAGAGCGCTGGAGAGCACCCGAGAGGTTGACGAAAGTGTCACCCTTGACACTGAAGGGACGGTTCGCGATGCCGGAAT